TGGTGTTGGGTAGACAGTTGGACTTGATGGCCTTTGAGGTCTCTTCCAACCTGAACAATTCTATGAATGATTCTATTCCATAAACTGTTAAAAATCTCTCTCTCTCTCTTTAGCTATGCCAGGTATGTAATTCCTTTTCTGTCTTTATAGCAGTGAAAATAATGATGTTAAACTAAAATTCTGATCTTCATTTTGTATCAATCTATGGCTCACGTCTTGAGCATAGGTGGGGTTAAATTCTGTTCTCATTGAAGGTTACTCACCCTCACTTTGTAGGACCTGTGCAAGTAAGGGCAGTGTCACTTATGTAGTGTCAGTTAGATGGTACTGCTGTTATCTGCAAAATCTGTAAAAATGAGAATGTTCTGGTGAAATTAGAAAAAAAGTTCTCAAATATTTTCTTTAAAACATTTAAATTGTGATCCTGACCTTCTAATGAGTCTGTCCCTGGTATTCTTGATCAGACATTACTGAGAATAAACTCTGGTGCTTAATTATAAAATTAGCTAGCTGATTCTGTGTGCAGTGTGTAATCTTGAGAAAGCACTCAAGAACCCTGAAGACAGTTTGTTGATAACTCTGTACCTTGGCATCATTAGAAGAAAAACATTTTTATGTAGATCTAAGAAGATATTTACTCAAAATCTATTTATGGACAGGAGTGTGAATACGGATCTGTTCTATAGTATCTTCCATGCAAGGTAACAGCCCTTTTATCTGTTTATAAAGATAATGAGTATCTTCATCAGTCTGCAGAAGATGATATTATTCTTTACAATGTTGAAATGAACTACCCGACTACCATCATGACTAACAGCACAATGGTATGTACCTTTTCAATTAATAAAAAGGCAGCAAAATGCATTGGGGTTTCAAGTACCAGTTTAAAAGTGAGTGGACTAAAACCTGACTCATCAAATCCTTATTTAAAGTTTTTTTACTAGAATCTAATCGACTTCTTAATCTTTCAGAAACAAGTTAATGCTTCAAATTATGTGTTGTCATCAGACAAATATTTCATAGCTCTGGAAAGCAATTATTCAAAGGTAATTATTTTAATATATCGCTTAATGAAATCATAGGTTTCATTTAGTATTTTGTCGATTGTGATTGCCATAGATAAATGTTTCTTGGTACTTTCTTGAGAAAGGGGTAGGCTGTGAAAAGGCAGCTGATTGTTTTTAATTAGATTATTTTTTTCCAAGTTAATAATATTATTTTCTTGCTTAATTTTTGCAGCTGTGGAGATATTCTTATACAGCATCATACCACATTTATGATCTCATATATGGGTAAGGCTTAGTATTTCTTACAGAGAGCTGTGGTGAATGCTCTGTAGTGATGTGCTTGTGAGCATTTCCACTGGAAAACTCTCTAGTAATGATGTGACTACCCCCCTGCTTTGCTTTTGCCTGAATCTATCAGGTTACTTGTTTCCTTGAAAAAAATGCCCTCTAAGAAAATCATACAGTCCTTTCATCTGCTCATCCAGGTATCTGGATTGATTTATATTTCATGCCCTAAAACTTTCACTGCTCAGGATTCTCATCTTTTTTTCTTCTTTGCCTAATCTTCTCCCACCCTGTCTTAGCTACTTGAGTCCACTTCAGTCTCACACCTGATGTCTCCATGCCCTCCTGTTGTCTAATTCATCCTTTTCGTGGGTGATCTAATCTTTAGCTTTCATAAAACTCTCACATGTCCTTTAGCACTCCAGTGATCTTGTAACAGTGCATTCTGGGTTCCTCAAAAGTTTACAGCTTCTCCCACGGCATTTGGTCTCTTTCCCAAGATCTTCCCCAAACTACTTCTCTTTCCACCCAAGTTCAAAGGAGGCCATCTGCCTTCCCAGTCACCTTTTTGTGCCATAAGTAGCAGTGTGAGCAAATGCTTCTTAGTTCTGAGCAACAGGGGCTGCACTGAGCTGCTCCATTCTTGGGCAACTGTTCGCTCAAGGTGACAGGAAAAGATTGCTGCAAGCTAATGTGAGTAGAGAGGTACTGCATGTGAGTCGTGATCCTTAAGAAATGCTGTAACTGCTGCTGTTATGCTTGCCTCAGCATGCTATATCCTGAGTTCATATTTCCCCATAACTTGCTGAGACTGTAATGCAGACTGCAGATAAAGCGATGACTGTAGATGCTTGTGCAGTATTTAGAAAGAGAGAAGGCTGGCTTCTTAGGCTGTTGAATATGTTTTCAAAGGGTTGAGTTGCAAGCCTTTACCAGCACTGGTGCACACCATCACATTACTGCATGTCTCACTGCCTGCCTTAATTTTGCTTTGCTCAGAAACAATAAGCTGTTAGAAATATAGCCCTTCATGAATTTTGTGTGAATGTACAGTATAATGATCCATTTGCACTGTGCACAAAAAGCCATCTCAACTTCTTTCCTTTTTTTAGTGGTTTTGTAACAGAAAATCAGCTTCCACATAAAATTCAGTATATATCCTGGTCACCCGTTGGACACAAATTGGTCAGTAAAGATAACGAAGCACTAGAATGATTTTGCTTTGTGTGGCTAGAAGTCATTTATTTGCCTTTGGTTATTATTTGTTAGGCCATATTTTTGACAGGCCTGTGTGTGTTAACCTTGGTTTTGAGCAAGAATGGCAAAGAAAACAGTTTTAACTCGTTAAAATTTAACTTGTGTCTCAATAGAAGAATACATGTTCTCAGCTACATTACTAGCCAGTCTCTTATCAAGAATTAACCAACATAATTGTATATAAGATTAAATGTATTTTCAAGGCCTAAAAACCAATCTGTTTTTCTTTGATGCTGTATAACACATGAATTTACTATGGAGATTTAGAGATGCAGTATTTAAAATCTTTTCTAAAATTTTTACTCCAGGAAATGGCTGCCAGATTCTTATTACAAAAAATGTTATTTTCTTTTTTTTTTTTAGTAGCTACTTGATAACCAAGTATGTATTTCTCAGTAATTGTAATAGACTTACTGCATATAGTAACAAGTTTATAAACTTTTTTTATTCTTAGTTCCAAAGCATCAGCCCAATATTATTTAGTGGTTTTTTACACTACTTATCCAGTATTGACAACATATTTGTGCAAGAAAAAATTTTTAAAAATCATACTAATTTCAGAAAATATCCAGGGGGTGTGCTAAATATGAATGGACAATTTATTAGGAAAATTTTTCCATGTTATAGGAAAGTATTAGTTTTCTCAATGAAATTAAATATTGTTATTTTCTTTATCAAGAATTCTGAAGACAGAACACAATGAAGATAGTTCCTATCTTCCTAGTACTAATAGTCTGTGATGTTTTTATACAATAGTGCTTGTATCTGAGAGTTTTAGGAGTTGCTTTGTTTTTCATTTAAAGCACAGAGTAGTTAAAAGGTTACAGTGATGTTGGTAACAAATGCTTATAGCTTGAAAGGGCATGATTTTTTAAGGAAGTGGTATTTCTGGTGCTGGTTTCTTAACTACATGTCCGTTCATTTGATTGAAATTTAGAGGTACCCAAGGCCTGCAAGCATTTCTTGCAAGAGCTCTCTTTTGGTAACTAATTTACTAGGAAGGAACAAACAAGCCCAGACAAAGTAAAACTTTGTTTTATCTCATCTCTCTTTACCAAGGCCTTTTAACAGGTTTAGAAGAGTCCAATTATTTTCTCTTTAGTCATTGTGTATTTGTTTTTATCGTCTACTTTTGGTGGAACCAAAAGGAAAAATCACAAAACATGTTGTCTAAGGGTCTTTTAAAAAACACAGCAATTTAAGTGAGATTCAAAGATTATTTTTTTTTTTTCATGATTTTCCACACCAGAGGTAGCCACAGAATTCTCTGAAGTTTATTAAAATCAAAGGAGTTGTTTAGGATTTATTCTGACATAGTTGAACATAGAATTTGGCCTGTAAAGTATAATTTATTTACTGAAATACCCACTCTTGCAGAATTTGCAAGGGCTTTTAGTGTAGTGTTTATTTCCTATTTTGTATTTATTATGTCTTCTGGTTGGTATAATGTAAGAGCATTGATTGCAGAAGATCTTACTTTAACCCCTGTTATTGGTGCCTATACTCATAAGAAACACTTTCTTGTCTTTAGGTGTATGTATATCAGAACAATATCTATTTGAAACAAAGTCCAAGAGAGGCACCAATTAAAATAACTAGTGATGGAAAACAGAATGAAATATTTAATGGGATTCCTGATTGGGTCTATGAAGGTAAGAAAATCTTGAAGAGCAAAAATTAGCATGTTAAGTGCTTTGTTTAGATTACCTGGTGCTCACAATTCATTCTAAAATACCTGTGCTGATACATTATTTTCACCGCCCTAAAGATTACTTCATTTTCGTATTTATTTGCCACACAATGACTGCATTTTCTATTCATAGTGTATAACCAAAATCCTGAGTCTTTTGTACTGAAACTATATCAGAACTTTACAAATTGGGCTTTCTTCTGCTGCACAGGCAGTGGTTGGAAATTAAGCTTTAGTGGAAGTTTTTGGATCCAAAAAAATTAAAAAAACACATGCACACAGGAAAAACCCAAGTGAGTTAAATGGGATCTGGGTGCCTCTTTTGGGAGTTCTTAAGGCCTTTCGGAATTGAGAAGTATTGCAATATGTTTGGTGTTATTTATTTAGTATAACTCTCTTTATGTGTCTAGGTTGCTAAGAATAGAACGCTAAAATAGATTAGAAGATAGATAGATTACAGTGATATAAACTATTATGAATATTTTTTTTTTCCTCAGAGGAAATGCTAGCGACAAAATATGCACTGTGGTGGTCTCCAAGTGGAAAATATTTAGCATATGTACAATTTAATGATTCTGATGTACCAGTTATTGAATATTCATATTTTGGTGAGGACCAATATCCTAGAAAGATAATTATCCCATACCCAAAGGTATGTTTTCTCATTCTTTTGACTTTCTGTTGAGAAAAGAGTTATGGCAATGATAAAATGAACTGTGCTTAAAAAATAGTTCTATTTAAGTGGTTAACTCCGTTGTGGCCTGCATTAATGAAAGAAAACAAACTTAGGGCAAGTTCTGAAAAGGTATAGCTACATTCAAAACTGTAGATATTTATTAATATCAGTGAAATAAATGGAATTACTCATGTAAGTAAGAAGCATGTGCAAAAGTGCATGTTTGCATGATCAAGCCTTGCTTTTTTCAATTCATTGTGATGTGTTAAGTTGTTATTTTTCAGTACAGTAAATGATTTATGAGACATTTTTTTCATTTTGAAAAACAAAGGCTATGACAGCTTCAGTTTATTTGCACACTTCATAGTGCTTTTTGATCTCAAGGGGCTTTGGATTTTAACTGCTTTCAAGTGCCAGATCTAAGGCAAGAAGATTTTGGGTTGGCATTTCTTCAGCATGTATTAGAGAGCTCTACTGACTCTTGTCATGTTTGTATGATTGCCAGTGATCATGTTAATGTATCTTAAGAAGTTAGTCACCTGTCAGCTGGGTTACATTTCTAAAGTAAAACTGGATGTTTTAGACCACACATGGAGGAGAATTAAAAAACTAATAATGTATGCAATGAATAAGCAAGCATGAAATGAGTTTGAGCTAAACACTTTTATTTCACAGCTGGGATGTCAAAGAGCACTTGCAGTCGTCTGAATATACATCTGAATATACTGCCAAAGTTAAGTGTAGTGTGTGCTGAAAAGATCCACATTGCAAATAGAATGCTGTTCCCATCAAGCACATTTTCTGTATAGAAAGGCATTAAATTTGACTGTTTAAAAGGTTTTCTTCTTTAGGTATGAAATGATACAAAGTTGAGGAATGTACTACTGCTGTAGAGTCACTCTGAGCTCTTATAAGACTGCATTTGCCCTATGACACTCAACTGAATACATATTTTGTAACCTATCTCCTTTCCTGCAAAAAGTGTTGTAATTTTCCTTGATCTGAAATGTTCAGAGCCTGATTTGAATAACCTGATACATTTTCTTTGAAGGCTGGGGCAAAAAATCCTACTGTTAAAGTGTTTATTGTAGACACTGTTAACTCTGAAGTGTTTGATCCCAAGGAGGTGCCAGTTCCTGCAGTTATAGCATCCAGGTAGCGTGCCCTCAAATATATCTTCTCTTTTTTAAAAAAAGGTTTTGTGTAATTGTTTTAAATGCTTGAACATCTGAGTTGTTTTCTGTTTCTGACAGTGGAGTGCCATATTCATCTCCTAGATGGATCAGAAACTAACTAGAGATGTATTTTGATTCTGTCTGTCCATATGATACATTGTTACAAAGGACAAAAAAAATGCCTAAGACAGTGGAAGCTTTGCTATTGTCTTCCACAGAGCAATATGCGGGATACAATCTGTAGCAATGCTTTGATATCTCTGTTCTTTAATAACCACCATTTCTTTCTTTTTTTCTTTTATTTCTTAGTGATCACTATTTTACTTGGCTTACTTGGGTAACAGATAGTCGAATCTGTGTGCAATGGCTAAAGAGAATCCAGAATTTTTCAGTCTTAGCTATTTGTGACTTCAAAGAAAATTCAAATACTTGGGACTGTCCAGAGGTAATGAAGTTGGAAACACAAATTTAACATTGCTGAAATTAGCATTTTCTAATCCCATCTTTGTAGCTCTTTTAAGACCTACTCATTGTGCACAAGTTGTTCTGACTTACTTGCAGAAGTATATTTAATCTTGTCCTGAATTCTTTTAGAAAATAATTGTGTGCCTGCGATAATTGTGTTTTCCAGTGTTTGATCACATCCATCTTTTAGCTACTAGTGGTACCTTTTTCAATACTTTAATTCTGGAGGAGGGGTGAAAAATCTTTAATTGCACCAGCAAGAAATAAAATCACCAAAATATTTTTTTGGTGAACCTTAAATAACAATCAAAGCAACAAAAATAAGAAGAATGCTATTGAGCAGCTTGCAATACTGTCTTTTAATTCCTTCTTGCTTCCTCATCTTCAAAAGTGGAACCATATAAGATCTTTATTGTTTTTTAAAGAAAATCTTATTATACTATGTTGAAATTTCATACTAAGTTTGACTAAGTCATGTCCTTTATGATTAATGTTAAATTAGTTGAAAGAACATACAGATTAAAAGTAAGGCAGGTTTTCAGGAGGGAGAAATTCCTCTGTCTTACCAAGTCATATAGTTGGAGAAAGCAGGCAAGTTTTCAGAAACATAATCCCTTTTTCAGATCTGAAAAGAAAAATTCGGGCTAATTGCAACAGTAGCTCTGCATTCTGTTTAAATGCATCATTCTATCATCAAGACTGTTTAGAGAGAAAACCATGCTCTGTTGAGCAGAAGGATAGCTTAGATGGCCTAGCTGTCTATACCTATGTGTAAATACTTGTAGACCTTACATACAGAAGCCTTTCTGCGGAAATATTTCTTTCAAAGATCTTGTAAAGCCTGAAGACTGCAGACAGTGATAAAGTCATACAGATTGTGAAGGAAAGGATAACCCTGAATTTCAGTAACTCTAGTACAGAAGTCTTATTTATTGTCTTTTAGTATTGATGCTGTTTGCATGTCCTGTTTTTAGAGTTTATGTTACAGAACACCTGTAAAAACTAGCATTCGTTAGGTTGAAACCTTGAACTAATGGGAAATAAAAGGCAAGAATACTCACAGAAGTGTTCTGTAAAACTGATAAATTGTAAAATCAGAGTTGATTGACACAGCCTTTCCAAGCTGAAAACAATTTTTATTCCTCTATGGTATGACAATTGCAAATTTAAATGGAAGTTAAGGTCCTGCTCTTTCAAAAACATTATCACTGAAGTAATTTTCCACAGAGAAATATCTTAATTTATTAGGAAAAAATACATATTTACTGCAGCACTGGATGTGCTTCCTAAGTAATTGTTCCACTTTATAAGTACATTAACGCTGAATCTCTATCTGGCCTCCAAGTAACCTACATTTTAATAATTAAATAATTTAACGTACAGAAAAAAAAAAAAGAAGAGTTCTAGGATTCTACCACAATCCACCAAAGTACTTTAACACAAGCTTAACTTTAAGCATGTAAGCAGTTTTATTTATTTCACTAGGTCTATTTATGTGTTTAAAATTAAGCATGTGCTTAATTGCTTTGTTGGAACCAGACCAGAACAATTAACATCTTGCAGGACTGTGTTCATGATCCTTGTTTAATTGCATTTCTCCATGAAACCTTATTTATGGAGTCACTACTGACGTTTCTATAATTCTATATTTATACAGTGATACAATGCTTTTATCACATTAAAGCTTGCACAAATGGCCAATTGAAGGAGTGTGAACAGATGGGAGTGCTGCATTAGCTCTATTTGCCGTTAGAAAGTATATCTCTCTACGTTTCCATTGGCAAAAATAGTTCTCTTGTTGATTTCAGATTAAATGGAGACTCTAATGTACAATAAATGTGCTAGGCTTTATGTACTTGAAAATAATAGCAAAATATAATCTACAAGATGTTATTAAAGTGTCAATTCATCAGAAATGTTCACGTGTTCAAGTCTTGCTCATGTGGATAGACCATAGAAACCAATATGACTTCAGTGGAACTATTCATGTGAGAAGCAGCTAGGCATGTGTTTGTGAAATTGGGATTTCCTATGAAGATGACAGTTCTCTAATTAAATTCTGTAAATAGTTTAATACACAGAAAAGTCCCATAGAAGTCAATGGGACTACTTATATGATAGAATTTAAATATATCCTTAATGTACTATATCCTCAAGATCTGAGCCGTGATTTAAAGAAAGGAAAATAAATTTAGTATGCAGATATAAAACCATACATCCTATTTTTCTTATCTTAAAAAGAAATAAAATCCATCTTCTGAGTTCATAGCTCAATGGAGCCCTTGCAAAGTACTAAATAGTCTTCTAAGGGGCAAGTACCTACAACTTTTGCTCAAATAACTCACTTTGCAGGGACTAGGTAGAAAAGAAAAAAGCATGATTCTGAATGCTGATGAGATTACATGGAGGATAACAAATACAAACCATATTCTTTAGAAAGCAAATTTGTTGAATTTATTTCAGATTGTGAAGAAATACTGTATTAAATGAACAGTATAAAGAAAAGTTTGCAAGATAAAAAAGAAATACATTGAATGCAGAATTGTTAAATATTAAATCACTTGCTCCATCCAACAAGCAAGATATTACACTCTTCAATGAAAAAGTCTTAGGAAAGTATTGAAAATACACTGGAAGATTTATAAGTAAAATAAACACAAATGTAAAAGCACCTTTAGCTGCAGAAGGTACTGATCCATTTCTGCTCAGTACAAATATTTTTTAAATTCAGATTTAAGAATGTTACAAGGAGTTAAGACCTGCTAAACTTGTATTCATACTCTCAGGATATGATAATTTGGGTGATTTTTACTGTCTATGTCATCTTTGCCAATCCTTATTTCTTCTTTCTGAATATGTTATTTGTGAGATTTTTTAAAAGTGTTGAAAACCAGGCCCTTTAATATCTCTAAGCTGAGCACCAAATATGAAGACCCTTGATTTCTATGTACTTTACTTAGTTAAAGTATTTGGCTTGTATTTTTAAGGGTTTTAAGGTTTATTTGTAAAAGATATACCTAGTAGTCATGTTATCCACTGTTATAAACCAACATCACAGCTTTGAAAAGCTGTCAAATGAAACCAGCTGAGAATCTAACACAGATTTTTAATATTATTATTCCTGAAGTTATTGGTTTCTTACTGAAAAATTCATGAGATGAAGTAGTTGTTAATTCTTGCTTTCGGTGAAATTGTTGCGTAAGATTAAAACAATTACTTTAGATTTTATTTAGCTCTGATGGCAGCTGTTAAAAAAATAATAGTTTAACTAACATAATGGTATTAATACAGTAATATTATTTACCTCGGACAATCTTTAAGTCCCTGAAACTTCATAGCAAGTATTCTAAAATTCTCTTTTGCAGGCACATACAGATTTTTTATTCGAAGATTTTAGATCTCCATAAACTCATTCTTGAACTTCTTAAAGAGTGTACATTTGATTTTGTTTTTCAGAATCAACAGCACATAGAAGAGAGTCAAACAGGATGGGCAGGCGGAGTAGGTTTTCTTGTTGTACTCTATTTTGATTTAACGAAAAGCTACAGCTTTCTGCATCTTCACAGCAGTGTTTTGAAACATGAAGCACCATTCTGAGTCATACAACACCACTGCTTAAACCTGTTGCAATGTAGGATTGAGACTTTTAACGCTGTGCTAGACCTAGTATCTGGCTACCTGCTTTCTGAGTTTAAAAACCCTTTTTCTGTCTTTTGCAAATCTTAGACCAAGTGATTAGACACTATACTGAAGGGAGGGAAGTCACGAACAGAGGTAGATTCATATGAAATTCTTAGAAGCATCCTGGAGGCAAAGAATAGATGTAAAATTCCTCTGATGTCACTAGGCAAGAGATAAGATCGGTCAAACCATAGAATTTTAAGAATAAAACCTGTCCATTCAGAACACAGTTTTAGTGCCAAGTGCTACACATCTTCAGCTAGGGAGATACCTTCAGGGTAAGATACTCCACTTAAAATGGTAGTTGATACTTCTCTGCAGTTTCCCCTAAGCAAAAGAAATTTTCTCTATCCAGTAACCTTTATCTTGGAAGAGACATAACACCGATCTTTGGGAACTCACAGTAAAAACAAACCTGCAAGGAAATTGTAAGAGGATGAAATCAGTATTTACAATCATATATCCTAACAGTGAATATGTATTATTGCTTATGTTTACTCCTGAGATAGGTGAAGTTACCAGAATTCAATACAGGGAACTTCACACTGTGTCTGAATATCCTGCAGTGGACTTCACTGAGAGTTTCAATTTTCACTACACTGTCCTTTAAGAGATATGTTTTTATTTGAAGTGAAAATTACACATTTACAAGCATTAGTTATTTTACTTGGTCCCTTTCTTTTTTCTCCACTTCTCTTGAGGTTGTGATGACAGGTTTTTATTAGAGCTAAAGGAATTGCACACATGCATAAATCCCTGCTTTAGCCTTTATGGGATTTCAATCTAGGATAATCTGTTCTTTAACATTAGTGGAATAGTGTGGGAAACTTCAGATATCCATTTACTTAGTGCTGTATTTGCTCAGTGAATCAGACAGACTCTGTGGTCCACATGATTTTCAGCCTGGCACCGTTCATGAACATTATTTATTCAGAAACTTATTTTTAAAAAATCACCTCTACCTATTTTGAAGTAACTAAAGAAAGGTCATTCAGAATATACAAACAAATTCTCTCACTTAAAACTATAGAGATTGCATTTGTGGAGTACTTGAGGTTTCTATATTATTAGCTTAAGAAATCTGAGATCGCAGGTTACAAATTGTAGTACGTAGTGACTGGGAGATTGAATATCACAGGTAAACACTTGTGCAAAGTACTTTGTCCCATCTGAACTGATTAAATAGTCTTGTTACTTTTAGTATGTATACTATAATCTGCTAAACAGCTTGGACAGTCTTACTTACGTCTCATCTACCATTTTTCTTCCATTGTTTCAGTTCTTTGTTTCTACACCATATTTTACATCAGACAGCAGTTCATACTACAAAATTTTTAGTGACAAAAATGGTTATAAGCATATTCATTACATCAATGACTCCGTGGTAAGTCAAGCAAAGTGTTGTACATTGATCTACTGTAAGTTCCTGAAATAATTCTACAATATTCAGTAACTTATATGTCTTGCTTCACAGGAGAATGCAATCCAAATTACAAGTGGAGAATGGGAGGCAATATACATTTTCAGAGTAACAAATGATGCAATGTAAGTATCATGAAGAAGAGAACAGGTTGTGAGTGTTGTCAGTAAAAGCAACATTTAATCATTTGAACAGCATTTGTTAACTCATCAAGTTGTAACTAGGTATAATTTGTTAGTATATGAATGCATCCACAACTAATTTGTATGCAAAGGCACTGCAGAGGTTTGCAAACTTGGTTTACTTATGGGAGATTCTTTGCAAGTGGCCCTCATTTTTCTATTTTCAATCACCCATCTTAGAGAGACTTATTTAGAAATACTTAAATTTAATCATGTGGTTAACCCTCATAAAATTTGCAGTTACTTCTCTTTTTATGGTATCTCATTCAGCTTACTATATAGATAGAAACAGCTTACATAATTGCAGTGATTAGCTTATAAGAATTAAGATAGAACTCCTATTTATATGATTTATTTGTCATCTAATCAGAGTTTTAGCAAAGATTTATTAAGATGAAAGCTATATAAGCTTAACTTACTCTTCCATCACATGCAGAAATCTCAAAAAGTCTAAGTTAACTTCCAAGACGGCTTTTCATCTTGATGCTGGTTCATAGGTCATCACTTTATGGATTATTTATTAACATATAAATGAATTTACAGTTTCTATTCAAGCAATGAATTTGAAGGCTATCCAGGAAGAAGGAATATTTACAAGTAAGTGTTACCAACACTATCTTAATGATACTAGGTTGATAGAAGATAGTTCTGGATTTGTCAATAAAATAATTTAGCTTCAAGATGTTTAAAGTGTAATTTCACAAGCTATTTTAACTAAATCTTGACTCAGATTATATCTGAGAATTGAGGAGAAATAGCATTCTAAAGTTTAAATATAGTCTTGGGAAGAAAAATGAATAAAAGGGAAAACTTTTATTTTTCAATTGAACTCTTCTGAAAGTACAGTGCCTGTGTTCTAGAATGTGAGCCAAACACATGTGGAGATAGCTGTAGCAAAATAAATATCACTTTATTTTATTTTTCTCCTAGAATCAGTATTGGAAGTACACCTATCAGAAAACAATGCATTACTTGCAATTTAAGGAAAGGGAGATGCCACTATTATACAGCAAGGTTCAGTGAACGTTCTAAGTATTATGCCTTGATCTGTTATGGTATGTATAGCATGGGACCAAAGATATAATCAGTTGTTCTTTCAGATTTATCAGAGGTGTAGATTATACTGATTATCCCAAACAATAGCTAGATGAATCATAGAAAATTCACAATAACCAGGAGGGATTTCCAGAAATAAACTTTTCCATGTCCAAAAATCTTGGGAAAGTTTCAGAAAATACAAATATTTTCACTCTATATTTTTTTTTACTTTTTCAACAAAAATCATGGGATTTTTAGAATTAAAAACAAATTTGTGAAAGTCCTTCATGGCACAAAACAGATTCTAATCTGGCTCATCAAAGTCTTGCAGCAGCAAGAGCAGGATTTAGAAACACACACTGATTTCCAATTCATGTGATCAAACTTAGCTATAAGAAAGTACTACAATGTGTTTCCCAATTGGAATTATTAAAACCTGCATCAGCCACAAAATGTTGGATATTTACTACCTGAGAACATTTTTAATAACTGAACTAAGAAAAATTCAGTTCATCAGGATGTGTGATCATTGAAACCACTTGTAACACAGAAGTATTAAATGAAGTCTTAGCTCTTTTGAAATAAGTTAGGTGGTGTCAGTGATCTGAGATTTCATCCATTGCGGTAATCAAAGAATAGTGAAGTCACAATCTAAAAAAAGGTTTTCTTTCTGCATATTTCATATAAAGTTTACTGTTCTTCTGATTCTGCACTGACTGATCAGCTGAAGAGTTCCGTAGAACTTCCGTTGAGCAGAGAAGCAAATGTAGCAAATAATAACACCTTTCAATCATTCTTGCACAAAATAGTCAGTAAGGTCATCACCATATGAAAGCCACTCACCTTCACAAATATGATGTGACATGTTCTCAGAAGAGTGTTTCGCATTGTTAATTCTGCATTCACCTTATGTAATCACATCTCAGGTATTAACTAGATGTCACTTCATCTCTAGGGAGGAAGAATTTGTTAGTAGATTTAAAGTTACTTCTGTTATGTTTGCTAAGCAATGCCTATATGTATACGAGTCTGTGTACACACAGTACCTTATGTATTTGGTGCAGCAGGGACTAGTGGGTTATATAGCAGAGAAGATTCAGATTTGTGTATCAACTTTGAGCTCTTTCACACCTGTCAGTTACCAATATTAATGTAATACATACTCCATCACCAAATTCCGTCTTCAAACTATAAACTGCCTTCTTATTCTAATGACAGGTCCTGGGATTCCCATTTCTACTCTTTTTGAAAACCATGGTGACAGAGGTACTGTAAATATCCTCCCTATTTCTCAGCAATTGTTTTTCTCACTGATCTTCACTATGCAGATCCTCTAATACAATATTTAGGATTGTGATCAAGAAGCCTTTCATCTTGTTTGTTATTAAAATATCTAGTGTCTTTCCAGTTTTGTAAATTAGTAAAATCCAAATATCAATGAACACACTAATGCCTTTATTTTCATTTCTCAGTCCAGCACTTCTATAGCATCCTGATGTTTTTCCTGTTTACACACTATAAATGCAAGGAACATGGGCAACTCTTTGTCTACCAAATATTGAGTCAAACTTTGTAGAAAACATTACTATGATTTTCAAACTATTTCTTTTCACGTTTGGATGAACACAAGACTTTCCAAACTTTTTCATGAAGCAACCCTTCCCTATACAAAAGGCAACAGTGTACTCTTTAGAGTTAGCAGTTTGAGCTATTGTACTGTAATAATTAGAATTTGGATCAGTGACTTGCTCTTCAGCTATCGGTAGAGATGTCAGGGAAGAGCAGAAGCCCTTTCAGATGATCAGTTCAAATAACTGCTTCAGACAAGGTGTAATTATTGATACAAAATGGGAACTCCAGCAAGAAACATTCAGAGCCCTCATTCTTTAAGTAGCCAGTTAGTGAGGACTCTTTGCAACCAGGCCAAGCTGGAATTTGCTAGCCATAAAATATTAATTGCTCTGTAGTGAGTTTTCTGTCTGTGTCCTTTGTTTTTCTGTAAAAATTATTCTCCAACTTAAAGCCCTCAGTCCTGAAATGTTATGAAAAGTAGCATGGTCTTGTAAAAAAACAGTGATTTGACATTCCCCCTTCCTTCCCCAATAATCAGTGGACACACACTGGTAGTTCTAATGCCAGGGTCCTTACAGTTCAGCTTGTATTGATAACCCCCTGTTAACTGAGTGTTGTCTGACCAGAAGACACATAAAAACATGAGGAAGACAAGTGCTGCAATATTGTCAAGATAACTTAATTAGTGGTGGTTCACGTAGAAGTCAATGAATTGCAACTTAAGTTTATTTTGACTCTAATAGTAGTCGGTACATCTTAGTTTTTAAACCACTCAAAAATGTTTCCAGATGGAAAATATTGGTAAACGTGTCTATTGCAATTGTGCTATAAAAACACTGTGTTCTTCTGGTATTTCTTTTGCAGAAGGTTTAAATGTGTTTAAATGTTTAAATACAGCTAATGCATGATTTTTTTCATATTTAATCCATTTCCATAGCTCTCTGTTTTCCATGATTCATTATGACCTTGTGTATCAAGGGCCCCTACTGCTTCCTTATCAAACTATGAATTGCATGAAATGCAGCTAAACGCCCAGCTACAAATACGTGTTTCTTAATCTCTCTGCAGGGAGAATAGTTTCATTTAATGGATCTTCACCACTGGTTTCATGATGCCTCACTTTGCTGTGCTATTATTCTTCAGGAATAAAAACAAGTTCAGGCTTCTCTGGCTTTTTCATGACATTTTTTGGATTAATTTTCCTTAAGTCTCTTGCTTTCATAATCTCTTCTCTGGTGCAAAACTATTTTTAATAGATCCATTTTCATTGCAGTTGGCAGCATTTTGAAAATATATCACCCATGAATTTTAGTAGGAGGCATGCAGTTAAACTAACATACACCAGTTCGGTAGCTCCTTCCAGCATGCCTACAATTCATTTGTGGTAATGGGCAAGTTTCAGGAGTTTTGAGAGGAAGGATGGAAAGAATTCAGCTGAGTTTCAGTGAGTATCCAAAGCTAGGATGATCTTTCAGTCATAAAAACCCACTTGAATCTGCAAAAATTGTCAAGAGTACTTTGACAGAAAAAATTCCCATGTTATATTTCTGGCATGTCCTGAGCACTATCTAGCTCAACACATGCTGAGAGAAGTACTTCTTGGGGTTTTTTGAGCATTTCCAGAAACAGGAAGTGGTTGCCATTAGGAAAAAAAAAAAAAAAAAGAGAAAGCTAAACTAACAAAGAAAAATCTGCAATTTTAAAAGGTTCTTTCATTTTGAAAGCGAAGATAAAAGTCATGGTTTTCCATTACGTAAAATATTCTTCATCCATCACTATTCATAGGAAAACACATAAATAAACAAAGCAAGTCTAAAGCAAGTAGAACACAAATTTTAAATACTTTTTAGATTAAAAAAAAAAAACAACAACAAAATATGTTCACTAGCTGTGCAGTAATATGGACAGTTATATGGTAAGTTTAGTATCTCTGTGTAGGAATACACTGTGCAGTGGTTAAGCAAAGGTTTGCTACAACCCCTTAAGAAACTGAATTTCCTGTGTTAGCCCAGAAACAAGATATTCCCAAACATCTGTGTGCTTAACCACACTGTCTAAGGGTCTCAGGGGTTAAACTGATGTTACTGTGGTAAACAAGGGAGGAGATAAAGGGCTGCGTTTTGCATGATGGGGTGAATTTTGTGTTTCTAGCTGCCACCATATTACAAAACTGGGATGAGGGCTCTGCAGAAGAAAGGAGTTTCTTCATAACATCCAGGACTCTAACACTCAGAGGCAACATGTGAAATGATTTGCATTGCAAAATGTACATCCTATAAAAATCTAACAAATATTTGTGTACTATAATACCAGAGCATTGCTTTTATTTAGTTATGTGATCAAGCCCAATTAGAAGAGTCTGAGTTGATTTCATTACTTCTAAAATTCATAGATTTCATTTCTGTTCTAATAATGCAAAATAAAGGAATCTCAATTAATGAAGAGGAATTGACAATAAATTAGTTAATAATTCAGGCATTTCTTTTACTTAGAGCTCAGAGTATTGGAAGATAATTGGGAATTGCAGTCTGCTTTGCAAGGGATTAAACTGCCAACAGAAGAAATTAATAAACTTGAAGTGGATGGTATAAGTAAGAATTACACATCTTTATTATACTTTGTGTTCTCTCCATTTTAATATTTTGGCTTCATTTTGTTATAGTGAGTATCGTATTTCTGTGGAACAAACTTGCTAGCCTGTCAGATTGGGAAGAAGAGGCCTGGTTCTGGCCTGTTTGACAATAACCAGTTTGTCTGTGCCTCAGGGTATATCAGTAAAATAGTAATTAAAATACATCTCTGCTTCACAGTGCAGGTTTTTTTATTCTTTAATACTATTGGTGAAGTGTTAAATAGCATGTAAAAACATTATAGTATGGGGGTAATAAAATGTGAAATGTAAGCTGCTCTTCATGTATTACACATTATATTGACTTGCATACACTGTTGTTTTCTCTAGTGACTTTACAAACAATATTCCATGGTAATGAATCAGTATAAAGTTTCCAAAACTCATTTCTCATAATTTTAACAATACTTATATTCCTAGTTGTGTTTTTCTAGGCACCTGGAAAACTGAGAACCTAGTGGTATGTTAAATAATACTTTTATGCATAGCTAAATTAAAACAAAGTGGTCACTTTATTTCTTCAAAGTTGTTCTTCAACAGCTCAGTATAAACAGTTACTTGCATCAGTTCTGTGATCCACAGTTCACGCATTGTATAGTTTGTCCTGATTCATTTTCATATACTATTACACCAAACTCTGGATTATGCTTGGAAGAATCATTTTAACCATTAACAATATAATTTTAATATGTTTTTTCTAGCTTTGTGGTACAAAATGCTTCTACCCCCAGAGTTTGATAGATCCAAGAAGTACCCTCTGCTTATTCAGGTGTATGTAACACTTCTTTTCTTTAAACATCCTTGTTTTGTTAGAAAACATACTTCTTATAGTTTAACAAAACCCAGGACATTTGCAACATTGTATGAAGCAAAAGCAAAACCACTTAGTTCTGTTTTGTTTGTTGTGCTGTGTTTTTTAGTATATTTCTGGAATAGAAATTCAACCCGATGGAAATCAATGAGGTTTTTAATGTTAATCTTAACATGGCAAAGATTAGTTCCTCAGAGAAATAAAAAGGATAAAAACCTGTGGGCTATTGCTTGGAGTTCTTAGCTCTGTTGCTGCATCTGTTTATCATGAGGCAGTCTGAAATTATTGATTTCAACTTTGCTAATATGAAAAATACAAGAGCCTGCTTCATCTCTTAAGAAAAAAACCCCAAACCTCCTAAACCATGTGGACTGACTTCTTTGATCAAATGTTCCTTCTAAAGCGCATTTGACATGAATATAATTTATTGCAGGCAGGAAAGGCAACAAAAATTGCAGTGGTGCAAAAAAAAATGAGAGGCAGAAAGGAGAGCTGAGTGGGTATAATAAACCTTACATCATTTTTTATTAACCAGTGGTGATCCAAACATCCAAGAATGCTAAGTATGTTTGAATGAAGTTTAGAGTAGAAGATTAAGTCAGTCATGTCCTTGAGGTCAAATGTGTAATTTGCATGAGGCCATTCTCATGAGGAGTGTCTTTCTGTATTGCTCAGCTATGTGGGGTGTGTTCTGCCCACAGCTCCAACAGCACATGATATTCCCTACTGAAACAAAGAAGGTCTGGGGATGGCCAGAAACTGTAAGGAGCTGTACTTTTTTCTCCTGTTTTCTTTGGCATTGCTGACTGCATGTGGAGATCAAATGCAAAAAAAAGCACCAAAAAGTGCTGTTACACCTAAGGAATTTGGAGAGAGGAAAAAATTGAGTCTTTGAGGCATCACTCTTCCAAGGATTCCCCTTAGGACCAAGACCTGATGCTGCACCCCTTAGTCTGAGCTAAAACTAATGTTTTGCCTTAGGCAGAAGACCTGAAGGATTAAAATGGATTTTAGATAGCAAAATCTCACAAAAATATGAAACCAGTAGTTGAACTGTTTGTCTACTGAGCTCTCTGACCCACAGCTGTATAGCAAAATACCTGTGGAGAAAATATAAGAAGTACCTATAGCTATAGTCCAGTATTGAATAATCATTTATAAATTTATAAAAATGAACTGAAAATGTGTGAATTTTCATCCTCAGGTACGGAGGACCTTGCAGTCAGAATGTAAAGGAAACATTTAGCATTAGCTGGATAACCTATCTTGCAAGCAAAGAGGGAATTATTGTTGCTCTAGTGGATGGCAGAGGGACAGCTTATCAAGGTGACAAGATTTTGCATGCAGTATATCGAAGACTAGGAGTCTATGAAGTCGAGGACCAAATCTCAGCAGTGAAGTAAGTAGAATATCTCCGTGTATAATTGCTGTATTTACATACCTACAAGTAGTAATGTGAAAAAAATATTAGATATACTTCTCAGGCTTTCTTCTGGAGAGCTTGACGTGCGGAAACAAACTCTACAACTGGCGGAGAGTGATAAAGCAGGCATGTTTACTTTGGTGCCGGGTGCAAGGGGGATCGCTCCTCCAAACTTGCACCTGGAGTAAAATGAAGATACATATTATATACCATGAAACATTTACATATTCATAGTTCGCTACATATTCATTGTTATTCACACTTAAGATTGGTTATAAGTTTCTTGCTTCTAATGTAAATTAGTACGCATCCTTAGTAAGCACTAATGAAGCCTCTATATTAACTACACATGTTCCCCAAGCGGGGTTTTGCCCTCTTTCGGGGGGGCCATTTGAGTTGGAGGTCGCGATCTCCCACTACCACAATTACCTCTGTCCTGCTTTCAGCTACTTTATTGTTTATGTCTGTGGGTTGTAATGTGTTTTCAGCTTGGCTCCCTTCATGTCTAGAACTCCCTCTCTTGGAGGCCTCTCTCCACATTCTTGCCTACTGACTTAGATAACAGTGTCCCTTCTTCTATCACTTGTTCTTTTTCTTGATGCTTCCTAACCTTGAGATGGCAGGCTAAATAATGCGCCTGCTTTTCTGTTAATTTAGCTGAATTCTTTAACCCTTTGGTATCAAGCTGAGGTCTCCAGGAAATAAGAAGACTTGTAGAAATAAAATATTACTGAGGAGCTTAATGTCAGTGAGGTTTTGTGTGGTATATTAAGTCCATATACTACTAAGTCCACATTTGGACCTCACCACTTCCATTTTATAAGAGCATCATCAGAGGCTTCAGCCCTAGGCTTAAGGAAATACAAGTGTCAGTGGTGACAAGTAAGCCTATGTATTATCCATTATTCTGAAGTTTTCCCTGTAGGGGAAACATACCTCAATGACCATAGCGATTAGCCAAAGATGTACTACAATGATTAGCTAAAGCATGAATACGAAGTTTGTAGCAAAACTGAATCCTGACACAAGCCTTCTAGAGGTCAGTTAGTCGTAAACTTGCCTTCTGTGCTATTTTAGGGTATTTCTGAACAACAGAAAGTGTCCGAGGTCCTCTGGTAGTTGTTCCTCAACAGTTATTCCTTTGCATTGAAACCCTTAAAGTGTTCCAAGGGAAAATAATTCCCTAAGCAGGGAATTTGGGAGGGAGCGAAAGCTGAGGTTTTGTAAAGAAAGGCTACCTGCTAAGCTAACAAATGCAGTAGCACTGCTAAAGTGAGCATTTAAAGAAGTGTTAGTTTGAACCTCACATAGATGAGTGCAAGGCAGGAATAAGGAATTTAGTCTAGCCTTTAGTCTGGAATTTGGCCTATCAGAGCATGCCTGGATTTCCAGGTGCAACAGTAAATATCCTCTTTCCCCCAGTAATAGACCTGACTCTGAGTAGCTTAGCTAGAAATTGGATGTAGCAGTCCAGATTTCCACAGCTTTCTCTGCTTGTTTGAGAACACTGTCTGTATTTACAAGTGTGTGTGAGGAGGGTATCTGTTCCTTCCTCTTTCTACTTTGTGATAATTCATTTCATCCTCAATTTTATAAACACACCATTATCCTTTTCAGTGATAAATGAAACAGAATAGCTCTATATCATGTCAGATTTTTCTATTAATCTATTATTTGTTTTTCTTTCTTGAAACTTTTAGCAGCAACAGCATACTTTAAAATATCACAAGAGAGAATGCTTTTTTATTACTCTGAATTGTCATTCAGACATAAAATGTCAGACACAGAGGGAACCTAAACTGATTCTGCAGTTGCAAAATCTGCTGAGGCAGGCTGTGAAGAAATGATCTCAGACTTCACACTTCCCAGTTTTCTGTCAGCACCCAGACTCAATTTTTATTCGGTTAAATGTATTGCATTCCATCTTCCTGATCTCACACATGGTTTAAGATGGACAATTTTTTGAGAGGATCCTATACTCTAGTGGGAAGTTCTTGGAGGGGCTTTTACTGTAGGAGGAACTCCAGGGATTAAGGCAGCAATATAACAAAGCTGAATAATTTTTTTTGGCTTTTCTAACTTTGTTCCACCCAGATAGAATCCCACATTTTGGACTTGTCAGTCACTCATGCTTGTCCTAGTAAAATAAAGCTAGTATGTGTCCTGGGATGTATCTGAACCTGTTTTGTTTATCTGTCACTCTCAAACCTTTGTGGTCTTTTGCCTCATCTTTTTTTCTTTGCTGTTGCTAATACAGCTCTGGAAATAGAGTCTTCAGACTCTGATGCAGGATTTTTGTAGGCCTAATATTTATGATTCTCTTTGACCTGTTTGACTATTGAATGCATAAGCAAGGTGCACCTTTCATCCATTGCAAGCTTATTACCTACATGTAGCAGTAGAAGATATTTTCCTAATTATTATTTTTTATTATAGTAGCAGTGTGTGCTCTTCAGTTTTCAGGCACATAAAAAAGAAAGCTTATTGCTCCAGGGAATCCCTAATCTCAGAGGTTGATACTGTGCCTCTTGAGAGATCAGAGTATCAACTCTTTGTAAGATGAGTATGTTGAGCATCTTGCAGGATAAGATGTGAATGTTAATGGTAATCCAGCACCTTTGGCATTAGAACAATTAAAACAATAATAGCCTGTGGGAAGGTAGAACTATGGGAAATGAAATGAGGCTATTAGCAGGAGTACACTTTTTGAACTTTTTTCTCTGCATGTGTGTTGTGTCTGTACATATGCATATGCACAGATATATATACATACACATGTACGACATGAGTCTAATGTATGATGTTTAATCTAGTCTGGACTAAATATCCAGGTGGATTTGAAGTATAAGAAAAGAGAACTTTTTTGCCAAGAAGCCAGTTGGGCATCCACTGGAACAAAAATTATTAAGAAGAAAGTATTCATTTATTATTATTTTTTATTCTTTCAAGAAAAATTCTTCCTTTTCCTCTGAAGTATCTATTAATTGAATAATTGATGCTTTGTAGAAATCAGACATGCTATATTGATTGTCAATTTGCTCAAATTGGTGGGATGTGTGGAAAAAAGTGAAAGAAAATTATTTTTTGCTAATTTTTTATATTATTAGCAATATTTTGTAATAATGCATTTATTTCTATGATTTTCTTTTCCACAGGAAATTTATAGAAATGGGTTTTATTGACAAGAAACGAATAGCAATATGGGGCTGGGTAAGTGTTTTAGGTTTTTTGTATCTAACTTTAAATAATCCTGCAGTATAATTTTTTTAATTCTTCCTTATTCTGTCCTAAATCTGTATAAAGTTTCTTCTACCAGTGTTTGATGGTATTGCCAAAGACGATAGTTCCTGTTGGTACCTATATACATGCAATTGCAACAGTGCAAGCCTCCAAGAAGAGATGTTTGACAACTCAATAGGGAATTTGGAAAAGCATACATCTAATGCATTGTTTGGGCTTGAAGTTAAGGAAAATTAAGATCTTTTAGTTGGCTTTACTTTTAACTTAGGGACTTACTGGCATGGTGTCAAAATTCAAGTATTGTCCTTTCTGATCCTAGGTAAAAATAATGAGAAAAGTCATATGACCACATTGGCAGCTTCACCAAGTGGAAAAATTGGCCAGTATAGGAGTCATTCCAAATGATTAGCCAGTCTATTTTTCATCTTTGATTTTTTCATGTCCTTTGCTTTGTAACCGTCCCAGAACCTTTTATAGACAGATTTATGCAAGTCTTTATTATTAAATGGCCAGATTCCACTACCCTTACACACTGAGAAATAGAGTAGCATACCTCAAGTACAAATTTTAGGATAGCACTGCATTCTAACAGGAGAAAAATAAATTATTGGTATAGTTCGGGTTCCTTTTCCTGTGCTGTCGGCTTCAAAGTAGGACCATTCATGGAAATGAGATGCAGACCTATTAGTGATGTTATGAGGCAGCTGAAGCCAACTTCAGTGGCAGCACAAATACCACACAGCCCGTTTATAGAGGTTTTTAAGATGTTGAGGCCACCTGACTCAATTGCTCATCATTGTTCATCATGAATGGCTGGATCAAGAATGCATAGACAGAACTGGAGCCCTGCTTCCTACCCAGCTTCAGCAGCTTCAGCATAACAGAATTACACTATGCAGGAGACTGAGCTGATAAGCAACACCTGAGGGACTCATGGATTAGGGACAGTATTGTTAAAGGGGGTTGGAGGCCAGACCTATGTTAGCCACCCTTACTCTTTCTCTGAGTAAATCAGTGTGAGCTATCCAGCAGTAACAGGCAGCACTAACTACAAAAGCTTACAGAGTAAACTGGTGTGTTAGCCACTCATCAACATTTTCCAATATTTTTCTCTTTATACATGCTCATTTTTGTTGATTATCATTCAGAAAGACCTTTTATTTCATCCTCTTTAACTGTCTGTCTTTGCCAGGAGAATTCTTCTGATCTGTCACAGTTTGTTTTGTTCAATTTTTTTTGCTGGTTTTTGTTTGTTTGTTTGTTTTCATTGGCTCAGTTTCATTGTAAGAGGCTTGCCCAGAGACACACTAGAGAATGGATCTTGTAAGATTCAGTTCAACTGTAACTGTAGAAGTTGCTTGATCTTAGGTAGCACGTGAGCTGGGTTGCTAAAATCTTTCTATGAAGCTTCTACCAACTAATATTTAAATTACCTTGGTCAGACACTGCTATAACACCAGGAGAAAATGGGTTACATATGGTGACACAGACACTTACAAGTGAGTAAGTCTAAAGTGACATTAAGTAAGTTAAAGCCACATGAAAGTATTTTATTTTTTTTAATCACATCATATTTTATTTCACCACAGTATTTCCAGAACCAATTAAGAGATTTCACATATCTAAAGCATTCTATCCCAGTGGTGAATATAATCTTCAAATAACAGCACTATTGCCAAACTTGTCAGTCTTTTTTCCCATCTTTTTCTATTATACCATTTCCTGGTCCATAACCTTTGAAAGGAGTTGAAAGGTGTTTCCTTATTTGTAGACTGCAGCTTGGCAGGTGTGCATGAACTATGCAGCTCATCTTACTTCCGGACCCACCAATCTCTTCTAGATGGCAAAAGCTCTTAAATAACCACTAAAGCAATTCAGGTTTTGAACTCTATCTGTCTGCCTATTACAGTGCATAGATTTATCTGCCTGATCCTAATCCTTTACTTTTTAGCCTCATGGACTGATTTTTTTAAAGATTAAATGAGCCAATCAAAGGAACTGGAAAAATGGTATGAATTATCATTGCCATTAGCGTATCCCTCACTGTCATATCAAGCTGGAATGTCAAAAGGAGGGAGGGACTAGCTTACTTTTGTACAAAAAAATACTTAATAGTTTTGCTTATTTCCCTTAGTCTTTCCTATGCTACTGATGAGGTTGATATCTTCAGAATTCTTCATGACACACCCCATGTTTTTATCCCTCCCTCCATTCCAAAGTAAACAGTAAGCCATTATTTGCCAGAGACCTTATACAAGTATTTTATAACCCTGGTTCCACATCCTATGGACAGTCAAACCAAATACTTTTTATTTACAGTATTTTCCTGTTTCAGCATCTAGCCCCACACAGTTGCACAGATCTATTCTGATACCAAGATATCTTACTGCTTTACCTAACTTCCAGCTATGAGCTCATTCTTCCTTGCTGGGTCCCAGTTTGAGGAATCAGGCCAGAAAATAACAGGAACAGTGGCAGGCAGTAGGGAGGAATTGCTCCAACCACAAGTTCTCAAGTAGCTGAGCCTATTAGTACTGATAATGGGGTTGGTTCAATATGCCAAACATTAGCAAAAGCTAGGTACTTTGTTAAGGGAGGGAAAAACCTATAACTCTTCTTGGAGGTGCACACTGAAAGGATGAGAGATAATAAACACAACTTGCCACATGGGAAGTTTTCTTTAGGTTTTAGGGAAAAAAAATTTACGATGACAGTGACAGTGTTGAAACAGATTGAGTAGAGAGGCTGTGTAATGTGGATGTGTCTCTGATCGACCTCATTTAAATCTGAAGTTAGCCCTGTTTTGAGATAAAGGTTGCATGAGATTACCTTGAAGGGCCCTACCAACTTAAATTTTTCTATGATTCTAAGTGGTAATACAAGCAATATACTGTGATAAGCTTTGAAGAAGTAGCAAAAAAGAAGTGATTCAATAAAATTGTCTAATCTTTTTGACAAGAAATAACATCAGATCCATTTGAAATAGATGAATTAAAAAAATATACTTAAAAAGCTTTTGTTGCTTTGACCTCCATGCATTCAAAGCAAAATATTTGCTTTGGAATTAGTTTACATGAATTTGATTCAGAAAACAAAATGATGCTTCACCAATAATTTTAAACTGTCTGTGATTTCTCCCTAGTCCTATGGTGGGTACGTAACTTCTTTGGCACTTGGATCTGGCAGTGGAGTATTTAAATGTGGAATGGCTGTGGCTCCTGTTTCCAGCTGGGAATATTATGGTATGGAAATTTGTCATAAATACTGACTTAGAAAGCAAGATGTAGCATTTAATGACTTTCTAAATGAAATCATTGCAGGAGACTGGCAATATGAAACTTAAAGACATTGCAATTGCCTAGACATAAAACTCTTAAGACCTTAAGTTTAATGTTTTTCTTGCTGAAAATAACTGCCTGTAACTGGCAGTTTGGAACAGACTTTGTCACATAGAAGAAGGTACACCCAGGTAATTCCATATGCACATCTGTTACAGTAAGTGTGTAAAGCCCTCTTGATAAACTGCTACACTCAGGGGTGATCTCCCTACAAATCCTGTTAGAACGGTATCATTAAATTCAGAAACAGCTGAAATGATTTTTCTGCCAGTAGTGGAATCACAGTGCACTTCAGATACTGCAGAAGATCTCTGTCAGGAATCAGTATCTCTGATGATTGCAAAGTTATTTCCCAAAAGCAGTGGAAAAGAGAGGGAGTCAGTCATGTCTGATATAAATTTTTTTAATTAAATATTTTTTCCCTTTAGATGTTTCTCAGCCACACCTCCTGTGTTGTTGCGTTACGAGACATATTTTTATTCATGTTTATTGACTTCGGCTCCAAACTGTTCAGAGGAAACAACTCGAGGAGTATACTCCCAGGGCCTTACCGTGTGAATAAAGCAGGCACATGCTCATACTTACTTGCAGACCTGTTAAGCTTTTGGCATGGTGTAAAGGAACCTTAGTGTAAAAAAGAATCATGGCATGTATGTTTTCAATGAGCAAAATGTAACACTTTGAACACATTTACTTAGCATATGGTCGTTTGCTAGGAAGTCTTGGTTATGAAAAAAATTTTTGGTTAAATCGGAAAGATTCCTTCTCTGACTGCTAGCACAGACATTCCTTGTATTTATGGTGTTTTGCAAACAAAGGGGAAAACATTTGTATGACACAGGAAGTATAGTCTTCATGTTTTCACTAGCATCAAGATTTTTTTAAGATATTTTCACTCATGATTGCAAAATTATTTCCAGAATGCAGGCATAAAGCACTATTTTTGCAAAAGCCCTTCAATAAAAAGAAGACTTATAAATATTTATCCAAGCATTAAAAATTGAATGAAGTTTTTAAGTTAAAGTAGATTAGACCTGCACCATTGCAATCTTTACTTTAGCTGAATTTTCAGGAGGGAGTTAATGAATCTTGCTAAAAACACATTGTAAAATCCAAACAGGCAAATGTACCTCCACTAAGGAAGGAAGGAAGGAAGGAAACAGAAAGTCGTGAAACATGAGTCATAAGTTTTAGCAAACAGATCATGTTAACATTAGGGTGAACTGTGTTAGAGGCAAAACTACAGGATGCTACATATTTGAGTCTCTAAGTAGTATCAGTATGTCAGAGGATGTACTGGCCCCTGGAGCTTCTAAATTCTGTTCCACTCTCTTTTATATGCACAGATTAGAGTCAGCACCATAATCTTTTCTCTGAAACCCTCTCTCTCACCTCCCTTTTGTGTCAGAGTTAATAACAGCTGAACAGTTATAAGATGGCAAAGGAAATTGCATTCGGGGACAATGTATAGTTAAAAGCATTAGATCTGTGACTGTTTTATTAAAATTCACAGTTTATCTCCTTTTTCTTCCTCAGTAATTGACAAGCTGAATCTTCCACTTAGTCATTATAATGCAATTCTGCTCACCTCTGTGGACTTGTTGTAGCTATACTGGTAGAACGGAGTGGAGAATTTGGCTCAGAATACTGTAGAAATGCCAGCCATTCAGAAAGTCTATTTTATTGAAAACTTAAGCCCAATATGGTTGTTTGACACTGTGTTGACAACAGATATTGCACATTTTCTGTTTTCATTGAAGGATAAAGAATTTTGATAAAAGATAGGCTACTTAGGTTTGAGGGTTTTTTTGGTACTTAGTTTATTACAGATTATCTTCAGGAGCCTTACTTGGCTGACCTTGGAGACATAATACACATCTTTAGCACTCAGTAGTAACATATGTAAAGGGTATATAATAAACCATGGGAACATGAGTATATTGAGTCATTTTCCTTTCCTGGGAGGATTCTCATTTCTACTTTTTAACAAAATTATTCTAATGCAGTGTACCAAACCGGATAACAAGGTAGACAATCCCAATTCCTTACTGATTAGAATGGCCATCACCTCTGTTATGGGAGGGAAAGATGCCAGCTCTTCTTTGTCAGAAAGCCCTGACTTTGTTAAATAAATAAAATTCTTGTAATACTGCAGCTTGACTGCTCAGTATGTGTCAGTTGTTACTCTTTCAAGGCAAGGTCATAAAGAAAGTAATGTTCTGGTAGTGACAGCTGCTGTGATAGTTCTCCACAAATTTTCATAAAAGCCCTTAGTTAAATTACAAATACCCAGGCAGCTCAAAGATAGCTCTTCCTACTGATTTCTTGGTGATAGATACTGTTCAGTTATTCATGTTTGTTTTGTCAAATCTGTTAACAGTCTTTATTGTAGTTAGAAAAAGGAATTGAACAGAGACCTGAACAGCAATTGCACCACATTTTCAATGCAAGCCTGTATGATTTCCTACTCCCTCTAATTGCTGCGTATATCAATTCAATAGGAAGAGAACAACATATATATCCATATTTACTGTCTATACACATACACATCCCAGGTTGGAATTCTGCTCAACTTCCCTTTTTAAGGTGTCAAAAATAGTCTGTGTCAGCTTTCCGCCATGCACCTTTATTGGCTCATTGGCTCACTTAGCTGACTTCTGGAATTCAACCTAATAGCATAAAGCAGTATCAGTTAATTACCTTTATCCACAAAACCTTCTGTTGGTTCCACAGATGAGTATCAAACCACTATTTCTGCAAGGACGGTTTGGAGGACATTTATTAATTAACCTTCATAGTTGATTTTTTAAATATGTTTAGATTTGGTGTATTATGAGGAAACCAAGCAGAACAGATACAGTTAAAATAACCAACATTTAATTTGCTATGTGTCACTGGAGGCACAAAAATATCTGTACGTTCTCTATCTATAGCTTTTTTCTTCTTTACTATCGCAGCATCTATCTACACAGAACGATTTATGGGTCTTCCTGTAGAGTCCGATAATCTTGAGCACTACAAGGTGAGAATTCTCTTTCTGTGTTGATCTGACTTAAACTTGAATCACACTTCCATGGACAAGTAGAACTGTGAAGAAAGAAAATGACCCACCAGCTCTTCTACTGGCAGTCCTGTAGCAGCTAAGCTACTGCTATAAAATTCAATCTCCATAGTTACTTGTGGGTTTGTATTTATAAATCCTAAATATGGTAAATTGAAGGATCCTTATTTTCTCACTTGGACAAGTCAGTGCAAATCATTAGCCTGGGCAAAAACTCATGTGAGAGGTTAAAACGTTGATGTTGATAAGGTTTTGGTTGGTATTGTTAGCTGTGGTATGAAAACTGCTTCATGCAAATTTAGCTCTCTGATAATAACATCGTAAGCATACTAAACAGTCAGAGCATCTTCCCTACCTGGAATAGGTTGCCTTTCTTCTTTTCTTCGCATTGATAGGAAGTCTATAGCTTCCTCTAGCAGCACACATACGAGCTCTGGATACAGAGAAGCCTGAATTAATGACCAAAGAAGTTAGTGGAAAGACTCCAATTGAAGATTTTGGATCATGTTCTCAGTACCTGTTCTCCATCCGAACTCAAAGAACAGAAATGCTCAGTTACAAACTGCCCTGGTAGAGCTGGCTGGGTAGCCAGGAATTATACTGTTCAGGGAATGACACAAGGCTAGTGCTGTGCTTTTTGTGAACTGACCCTTGGAAAAGGCACTGAATGTATATGGCTTCTATTATAATCTCAGATTGATACGAAGTCCCTGATGCCAGTCCAAGTGTTTGTTGTTGTACTAGGTAGTGAAAGCCTTTCAGCTCTGTGACTGAGTGGTTTAAATTGAAGCTGCTGAATTGTTCATTTTCCTCTCAACAGAATTCAACTGTGATGGCAAGAGCAAAGAATTTCCAAAACGTAGAGTATCTTCTCATCCATGGAACAGCAGATGGTGAGGTTTGCAAACGCAGTACAAATACAGAGCCAGAATCACTTTGTTTGAAAAACATTAAGCATCTTTCTATGCCTTTGATTGGGGTCAGTACTTAGATCTTTGGTAGATTTCCATATGACATATTATAAGATGCTTACTCATTCTTAGTAATGTCAACTGTATCACTTGATAATTAGTGGACACGACTTAATGCACTACAACTTTATGCTTTGTGGTATTTACACGTTTCAACAACCAATCTCTTTTTTTTTTCCTTTTTCAGATAATGTGCATTTTCAGAACTCAGCACAAATCGCAAAAGCTCTGGTTAATGCACAGGTGGATTTCCAGGCAATGGTAAATAACAGACTATTTTTCATTTTGAACAGTGGTTTATAGCTTTATCAATAAGCTTATCTGACATTTGGCAATGTTTTTAAGAACCCAGTTCAACTGAACATGCTTCAAAATCTGGCAATTGCTAGTGCATTTGTTACTCTTCATAAACAATTTCTTCCTCAAAGGGTTTGCCTGCTCTTTTATTTCTTTCCTTCTTGCCCTTTGGATCCTAGTAAGATTTCTCTCTTGTCAAGAATAAGTTAGAGGCTTTTAAAATGAGCGAGGGAGAAGAATGAGCATCCAGCCTTCTGATGAAAGTTGCTGATAGCTAGTAAAAGAGAGGAAGATGAAGGAGCTGGCTTCTGGAACCAAAACCATCACTGGTTCTGATGGATTCTGTCTTGAACTGGACGTGCCTGGTGCAGTCATGAGATGAAACAAGCAAAAAGGGTATAAGGTATCCAAGTAGTATATCCAGGATCAGAAAAAAAAAAGTTCTCTGCAAAACTTGCTTGGGATAGCAGGTGCGGGCAGAGAGAAACACACAGGCAAGAGGTTAGAGGATATAAATGAGGAATGAACAGGGGGGAAATAGTTCTGAATTACATGCTAAGCTCTGCTTCTGCACCTTTTTTCCTGGGGATAATGACCAAACTGTTTGCCAGCTATCAAATGTACTGGTCTTCTGCCTGAGTCCACTTTCCCAGGGCCATGAACTCCCCAAAAAGGGATCACACAGGGTTCCCCCTGTGCTTGGGGTTTGTAGGCGCTTTTGTGTATTCCACATTTTCTGTCTCCTTCACTGATATTTAGCAAACCTGGGTTATTTCTAAAGTATCTGGAATACTGTTTGCAGCTGTAGTCATTCTAGTTCAACTATGGAGGAATGTCAGTTATTTTTAAAAGTTAGCATAATTCATATGTGTATTTCATTTGTAGTACACCATTCATAATGTTCATGGCCCTGCTGTAATGCAGGATGTTTTGAATAGAATTCCACAACATTTAGCTGAAAGCTTGTTGCTTAGAGCCCAGGATTCCTAAACAAGGCTGTGACCCTTATTGCCAAGGCCACGCAGCAGGTCAAGGGCATTTCATCCCATCTCAAAGCTCTTTTGCCTGACTTGTCAGTACTGAGGCAGTAATGCTTACTCCTAGATTACAGAAGGTTCAGAAACTTTTTTTCAGCAAGAATATGAATATATTGGAAACTGATGAAAAGACAAGATTAGCAAATCCCTCTATTTTCTTGAGGCATCCACTTTCTTCTATATGGTAATAAAATAAAGTTCTTGTATTGTTTAACTGTTGCAGAATTGAAAACATAACATAGGGGGTTTATGGCTTTTTTTTTTTTCTTTTTCAGTGGTATACTGACCAAAACCACGGAATTCCAGGCCTTTCCAGCAAACATCTCTACACTCACATGACCCACTTCCTCAAACAATGTTTTTCTTTGTCAGAATAAGTAGGCTTTTCAGAGCATGCTAAGGCATCTGATACATCTCTGCGGGCATGCAATGATAACAGTGCCCAGGTTATATAGTTTTCAGGTGAATCGGTAACAGGAACTTTGAAGTTTTAAACTTGATGTTTACATCTACTTTTGATACTGTATATTAGCAAATGTTATGCTAATACATATTTTGGCACATTTAACACCTGTTTGATAGAAAAAATAAAATCACAATGTAAAATGCCATGTCCATTTATGGTCACCTTGCTTAAACTTACATTCTGCAATCCAAAGATCAGTGGTCCATTGCAAAGGCACACTGCCAGATGAATATGCTTGCATTTGTTAACTACAACTGTAAAATGGGAAAGGACAAAGAACCTAGCACAAGTACCTAATTAGCATCCTAACAAGAACCAGTTTCTCAAAGTTTATTTCCAATCTCTTGGAAAGTATCCAAGTAGGGATAGGAACACACAATATTTAAAGCTGAAATTTGGATAATTATCGAGAATATTGAATGCTGTGTTCAAATTTTATTCAGGTCTTATCTGAAACCTTGGTTCTGCAAAACTCTCAGTGTTCAGGTTTAAATATGAAAGAAGGACATTCATGATAGCTATTTTGTCTTTGTGTTTTTTCTCCCTGTATTCAGAATATGTGAGACATATTAGCCTGGTTTTAATCTCTAATCATCACCTCAGCATTCAAATTAATCTCAGTGTCATTCATCCCAGACTGGAGGGGAAGGATCAAAGGATTATGCAGGCTTTCTTTGCTTTGTTTCCAGTGAAACTATTTTAGGGAGTCTTTTTAAAATGCTAGAGGCTAATAATGATTGGAATAGTTGTATTCTTTTGATTAGTAATTAAATCAGTCCTGTCATAATATAAGAACATGAACAAGATAATTGGCAAGAGATCCATTGTAGATGAAATGATTCTCTGGTCATGTGTTTAAAAAATTCTGAGTTACCCTACTGCATAAGAACCATGGTCTGTCTAACACAGTATCTCATCTCTGCTCTTAGCCCGTGAGAGTACAAAATAACCTGAAAAAGATTGTGGAGTAGCACTCCCACAAAGCAAGGTGCTTCCTAACTCTCATTTGGAGACTAGTTGCTGCTGCTTTGTGGAAAAGCAAGGGGTTTCATTTGACCCTCTTGACAAAAACATAGGGTTCAGCCAAAATCATTAAAATGTGGAAGTGATCTGCTATGTAACAGCTTCCTTCGTTTTGTTAATGGCAATATCAAATCTGATTTTCCACACATGAGAACGTTCCTCAGACACATCTTTATGTAAATGTAGTTGCCAAGCTGTTTGTAATGGTTAAATTATACTTTGATGGGAACTCTTCAGAAAATACTCAATTAGTTCAGGTTTTTTTGGAAACGCTGCCAATTATGTGACGTTAATGAGCTTTTTGTTGGTAATGTAATTAAAATTCAACTGCTATAATGGTTAAAGGAAAAAATATAGCTCTAAGAAAGTTAACATTAAGCAAATATAACATGAAGTGGGGCTAATTAGATGTTGATTATATGGTCCTATGTGCATTTGCTGCACACAAGAGTAGTCTCAGTAATGTGGTTATTTTACAAATAAGGCACACAATTCAGTGGAAATTACTGAGACTTAACTCTCAATTTCTTATATTGATACAACACCACAGAAACCGTTGCAAAGTTGTGGTGAAGGAGAGAAAAATCAAGCTCTTATCCCAGATGCTTGAAGGTTTTAGATACCTGCATATGTCAATGGGAACCTAGAGCAATTTTGAAAAAAGCATGGTATCAATCTCACATAAATATCAATATATTAAGGTCTGTCTAAGTTTCTTCACCTTTATTTTTATTTATACTTTTGAAGATCCTATAAGCTCTGGAAATTTGGGCAGATAAATTGGCCTTTTGTGGATACTATAAGTAATGACATGATGCAATGTGGTGTTCACACCCTGCCCCCCGGTCTGTAGTCAGAAGCCTCCGGAAGTATTTGGAATAAGGGACATTTCAGGAAAATGTGTCAAATGAAATAACAGAAGGTACTTCTTTCCCGAGGGGTGCATTAGCTGTTTCATTATTAATCTGTCCTTATGCCTGTTTGTTTCCTAAGGCCATCAGAGTACACATCTTCAAAACTGTCCACCATTTACCTTGGCTTGTAGGAAGCAGTTGTAGGGATAAAACATGAAAAACAGTAAGTCCATCATGCTGCTGTCAGTTTTGCTTTATTGTTTTTCATGTTGTTAATTTATTTGCCTTACACAGTGTTCTCGCCAAAGAATGGGAATGTGTCTTCAGCAGAGTGTGACATTTACATTGAGTTGCTGGAATAACGTCTAACCTGAATGCTTTATGATTGAGCAATCATGTATTTTGATGACCTGGGGGAAAATGTCCTAGGATGCTGTGAATGTGAAAAAAAAACCTCTTAAAAAACATACACAACTTCAAATTGCTGGCCTGTGCTAATAACAGGTAACATTGCAGTCATTCATTAGAAATGGTGCAGAGCACTTCAAACCTACCATCACAGTATCACAGAATCACAGAATGGTTGGGGTTGGAAGGGAACTTTGAGGTCATCTTATCTCACCTCCCTGTTCAAGCAAGGCCACCTACAGCTGGTACCCCAGGACTCTGTCCAGATGGCTTTTGGATATCTAAAAGGATGGAGACTCCACAACCTCTCTGGGCCACCTCTGCCAGTGCTTGGTCACCCTCATAGTAAAAAAGTGTTTCCTTATGTTCAGGCAGAACGATCTGTGTTTCAGTTTGTGCCTGTTGCTTCTTGTCCTGTCACTGGGCACCACTGAAAAGAGCCTGGCTCCATCTTCTTTACACCATCCCTTCAGATATTTATATACAGTGATAAGATCCTCCTGAGCCTTTTCTTCTCTAGAAAGAGAAGTTTTTGCATTCTGCATTGCTGTCTGCTATCACAATCCATGTTATAGGCATCACCACAAACATTCACTGGACAGTGATTTGCCCCGTTCCTTTTTAATCTAGCCTACAGTACAGGCTGTTCTGTAACAGAGCTTCAAGACTTGTTCTGAGGATCCAAGCTGAAGCTAACAAAAATATGTTTAAGGGTTAGCCTTATATATGAATGAAAAGTATATATATCTATACTGCAGACATAGAATATGGTATGTAAGAGCCAACACTGGGACACAAATTATTATGAAACTAAGAAATGATAGCTTTTGTGACAAGATTTTCTAAAGCTGATGAATGAATAGCCTCAAAGTTTTGCTTCCCCCTTTCAAATGTTTTAGAGCATCTGGTTTTCATAAAATGCTGAGCACTTTCTGCTCTTCTTTTCTCTTTTGAATAAGAATCTCACACTTCAGATACCCCAAAAATACTGCTTCAGACAGTGAAACTTATTTTTCAAATATCTGTCATATAAACAAGGTACACAAGCCTCTGAAGATGGGACATAGTTGTACTGAATTAAGTAGGCAGACCCTCCATAAATAGCTACAGATACAGTTGTTTACAAGCCAGTTTCCACTATGAATCCTGCTTGGCTTTTACGAAATAAAGCTAGAGCTGCAAAGCAAAACTGCTTTATTCTGGGAGCTGAAGTGTACATAAGTAGTAGAAAACCACTGGTTCCACTCCAAACCATTCGTTCTCCGACACCTATTTTCATCGTCTACCTCATTCGTGCTGTGTGAATTGCACATATCAAAGAAGATGTAATCTTCATACCTCAAACGTGGAGCTACACGCTTTGCTTCACTTAGGATTACTGCAGCTGCAAAGAAGAGCAGGACTGAAGAGAACACAGCATTAGTAGAAAATCAAGTATAACCCCAGACAGGCTCCGGAATATGGTTATATATCAACTCAAATTCAAACTACATTCAATACTTTCCAGTTTGCCAGTCAGTTCCAATTACAAGGCACAGCTGTTTAGAATATTTCAGAGAGTCATTTGAAGGCTCTATATTTCATCTGAATAATTCATAGTATTTGCTAAGAGCATTTGGTATTACTTTCAATTATGAACATTGTCTTCTCAGAATGTAAAGTAACGAGTACATACTTGGCCAGATCTTCTGCTTGCGCAAATTGATGCAGCTCCATTGACTTCAAATGGAGCAATTCCAATTTATGTGAGCAGACAGTGTGGGCTACAGCACGGTTACAATAGCTCTCTTTCCTGAGGTACAAACCCATTGGCATCCATGGCAGTGAGCACGTAGTGGCATGCTGTGGAACGGCTTAAAGACCCTAAACTAATCCTCTGTTTCAGAAAGCCATTCTTGCTCCACAAATTGTAACCATGGAGTTGTATACATTAATATGGACACATCTGTATGTGTTGTGTATATGTACAGATGTATGTATGTAACATGATGCATAGGCTTTATGTACGTATGTGTTTACACATACGTTCTTCCTATGTAGATTGCACTAATTCTCAGAAGGGGGATGCAGGGCTCTTTTGTCTGATTATCGTGTAGCAAGGATAGGAAGATAAAAAGGGCTGTGCAGCCCAGCCTCTGAACTCATGGTTGACAAGGTTAGGGAGAGAATGCTTGCTGTGCAATGTAAGAAAGAAAAGGATGTGGGCCTGTAGTCATACCCCAAAGATACATCCTCCTCTCTCCCATGTCTTTTAGATATGTAATGGATAATAATAATGTAACAATAAATATATAGTGAAGAAATACACAGAAAAATGTGGGGGTTTCACCTTTTTGAAAGCATTTGTTGGGGATTTTTTTACTTTTTTACTTTTGAAAGTCAGCAACTTCCTAATACATTAAAATGTTCAAATCTTGACAATTTAAGTTTTTTAACTATTTTTTCTTGTACCAACAGTTAAAAAGTTGAGAGAAACATCCTAGAAAATTATGAGATTCAGAGTATGCTAGCCAGTTATAACAAATCCTTTGGTGCTATTTTTCTGAAAAGACATGCCAACTGGAATTGTCACTGCTAGAGCATCACGTTCAGTGTGCAGCTGGTAAGAATTCTGCTTCTGAATTTACCTCTTCTGTAACTTTCCCCATAGATTTTTTTGTCCAGTGAGTGCAGTACATTGTCCTTAATAGCAGCCATTACCTGGTGCTGAGGTGATGGTGCAGGAAACTTTGATCAACTCCAAATACAGTGAAACCCAAGATACAGATTTTTTTAATGACTCCAAGTGAATCATGAAAACCATTAAGATGAAACTTTCTGGAACTCAGGTCACTTTCAGGTTCTGTCTCTTAGTCTCACTCAGTTGAAGGACTGTCTCGTATGTGAACTATAATATAGAGGAGAGTGAGTTTGCCCTTGATTTTTGCCAAAAGGTGCCATCTAACCATTGTATTTTGCAATGTGACAGGAAAAAAAACCTGAGTACACATGCACGTTTCAGACACTTGTTACAATTTTCTACTCCTGTTTGGTAACTCTTGTTTGCTGTGCTCTTGAATTAAGTATTACTATAGATTCAATGATTGGCAACTGAAGTTTTCATGGTTCTTGATGGCAGTTCACTTCTTTCCTGTACTTTTTATTGTCCATGTATCACTTGAAAAACAAATATTCAGTCACCTTCTAGATTCTAGATGACCTGCTAGATGATATAGCCTGTGTAACAACGTGCCCAACCAGGTGCACTGAGCTGCTCTGTCTCATTCTTTTTTTTCTGAAATCATCCCACTGTAAACAAAGAATTTTATCTGACACAAGAAAATAAACAGAGCTAAACAAAAAAGAAAAGAACTGCCTGTTTCCTGGAGAGATTATATTGTTTTACATTCTGTATTGCCTGTTTAGAAAGCTCTGTATCTTTACCTCAACATGCAGTGAGATAATTGTCTGTAGCAATCCCTTTCAACAAGTGTGTACGTGTCGTCCTGGTGTGAAGGTGGTGTACACGGCCCTCTGATCACCATCTGCTGTCCTGTCGGGGTAGTGCAGGGCTGGCCAGCCCCCCGCCTCCCGCAGGAGCCGCCAAGCTGACCAACTTCATGGAGAGACGGTGCCTTCGAATACTTAGGGCTGGACTAAAATTTAAACTGATTTTGCATCCCCTATATAACCCTCATAAAGTTTAAACAGAAACTAGATTAAAAAATATTTCTGAGATAAAGACGACAAAGTATCTCAGTGAAATTGGCATCTTACGAAAATAAGTAGATTTGGGGTATAAGGTTGTTTTCAGGCTTATTTTGGCTCCTTTGGCACCGCGCCTTAGACATTACACAATTGTTTGCCTAGGGAAGGCTGGTATATGGAGATGGTAATTCTGGTAGTTTCAAACAAAAAAATCTGAAAAGTCAAGTTTGATAAATATATATGCAAGTTTGTATATCCTATGCCAATCCACGGCTGGGAATTCATGACTTTGAATGGACGTGAAAAATACAATTAGAAGCAGGAAGAATGAGGACATGGGGAAGAGAACATGTGGAAAAGAGGGGAAAAGAAGTAGTAATTAAAAAGGAGAGTAACAAAAAGGCAAAATAAGGCTCTCAGAAAGGACTGAAGGAACAAAGAGAAGGCAACGATGAGAGGAACAGAAGCTGTGCTTTTTTCAGCAGCAGCATTAGCAGACACCTGCATTGTAGCTAGAAATGAAAAAAATGGACCATGAATCTCAGTAGATGGCTCCAAGGGCAGAGAAAAACTACACTAACACACACACAAAAAAATTAAAATTGATTATGTGAACTGTGTAGTGAGACTTAATGTTTCCCTAAACCCAAACTGTGGTACCCCAGCAAGGTATTTAGGATAGAGCTCTAGGAAGGTTCCATTAAATTTTGTTTGCCACTCTAACACTAGGGTTATTAAGTTTATACACTACCTCAATTGTATCATATGGGCCACACCAATCTGGCTGTGGTCAACCAGCAGAAAATTACCTCGCTGGACAAGATTTTTTGCTGGCTTCATGGAGCAGTGTTAGGGGAAATAAGAGGGTTTGTTGTAATAGATATGCTTTGTGCCACAAATTAGACCATGAGTCACTCCAGACTCGAGCACAGGCTGTCATTAACATTCAGTGAGATGTCCACTGTCATTCCAGACCCTTCCCTCTACCTAGCAGAACTGAAACTCAAGGTGGAGTCCTTTGTATTTAATGTGTCTCCTGGGCTGCCTGACACCTTACAAATGTAGTAATCATATTTCATTTTTGGTGCCCTTTTGCATTTTATGAAGGACTATCATGATGTATGAAAAGGTCTGTAAAGGAAAAGTTCTCCAGAAATTTCTTGAAGGGGAATATCTCACTTGTTGCTCCATAGACAGGAGAAAAGACCGATCTTCCTGACTGTCAGGTTTTTTCAGCTGCCAGGGCCATTGACAAGTTTTGTGTCAATCTTTCCTACCTGTAGTCACCAGACGGCTGAACATAGTCTTCTTTGGCAAAGCTGCCCCACCACAGCTATGAAATTGCCCCTATTACTGAGTAATTTAGGACCTTCACAATAGTTGCAGAGAACATACACAACTACAAAGCTCAAATCTGATTTGGTTTTTGGATTTTTTTTCGTTGTAGAGAATGAGGATGTGAGCAAAAGGCTTATCTTGCATAAATCTGTAGGCCACAGCATGAAACTCAATTTGTAATGAATGTTTGGCATACAGTTTCAAGTGAGTATGAATTTTCATACAGTAGAATTTACAAAGTTGGCATTTTACATCTAAGGGTAACCAAATCTTTTTGTTAAATTTGACCTGTGCTAGGCTTTGCATAAAGGGTAGCTATCACTGCAGTACTTCACATCTCTTCATGTTCACTATATTGGTGCAAGATTACCTGAAGAATCATTCAAGGGCTTTGGGGGAGTTGTGTTGGTTATTGTTAGTAGTGTATTAAATTTATAAACCTTGATTTAAAATTGATAGGTAAAGTTGATGCTATTGATGTCAACAGGACCAGGATTTTAAATTTTAAATGTGGCAAATCAGAATTTGGAGAAATTGCTACCTTAATCCCAGGCACCTTTAGCCCACTGTTTGTCATCCTAATGCCCTTCTGTTTGATATTTACTTCTTTGGACATCGCTAACTCACTCCTTTTGCAAACCCATGTTAGCACTGATGTCATAAAGTAAGCAGAATGAATGTGTGAAATTGCTTGTAAAATTATCAAATGAAATGAATAGCAAATATGATGACTTTTTTTTTTAAGTTGAATAAGGAAACTGTCAGCAATGATGCACTCTCGTAATGCTTACTAGAGCTGAACAGTATATATATAAGTCTGTGCAAAAGAGGCAGCTAGGCAGATCTCAGGATCCTCAAGGCTTGCCATAGTTCCGGAAGAGAGAGTAGCAGCTCTTTCTGCAACTGCTACATATCACTTCAAAGTATAAAAAGGTAAGATTTATATGAACTACCAGTACAATTTGTTTGAGAAAGCTGAGTGCATTATCTGAATCGTATTGCCCAAACTATTGCAATAGCAGGATCTTTAAGCAAATTGGTGTTTTCTTCTGTGGTTATACTCATTGATGTTCGGAGTTAATGACATCGTCTTTTAAATCTTTTGATGTATTGAATTGGTTCAACAGAGAATGATCTGAAAAAGGGACATCAACTGTTTGAGTTGCAGAAGCAATTGAAAGAAGGAAGATTAATCATGAGAACATGAAAGACATGCATTGTAGTAAGAGTTTAAATGTGAGATACATAACTATTGATTTTCATATTTTTATGTCCTTTAGTATCTTCTCTAGAGATATTTAATGAACATGAGTTTAAAAATATACATTCCTTATAGATAACTGCCTAAATATGAATCAACAGGGATTAAATTAGCAGAGTGCAAACAAATTAAGTGGGTTTGTATAGACACTGATTTAAAACTGTCCAAGACAGATTGTCACTCCTTCCCCCTATAGATTGCCACTCCACTGCTCTACTTTTAGATTAGTTTGTCTGAAGCACCTATTATTTTCTTATCACTGTATGATCTGAAAAGGAAATTTTATAGCACAAAAGTAAAAAATAAACCCTTTCAATAGTTATTGTGATTATTGTACAAAATTTAATTTAGTCTTCCATCCTACTATGGATTTCCTTAGACTAGAATGGTTATATTTTACAGAACTTTCCACAAAGCATTATAGCATGGTAGGTATATTAGATGTAAAGTACATCCACCTGCAAACGTAATTTATTTATAATTAGAAATAATTGCTATTTGCAAACAGTTTCATGTCCATAGAAATCTATTTTATTCATCCATACATTTTCATATGAAAATATTCCCTTTTTTACTACTGTAACTCCATAATTTGTATTTTTAAACTGGAAATAGATACAAATCTGACTTTTGAAAGATTCTTTTTTGAAAACTCAATGAAACTAAGCTAGCTAAAATTGCCTATAGGTACAAAAGACATCTGCAGTAAAATACATTGGAAAAACTAGCAAAATCGAGTTTTTCAAGGAAATAATAATCAAATATGTTTCTGATCAATATTTGAGAGACATATTTGTTACATACTTTCTAGTGGTTCAAACTGAGATGTGTTCAGTTTTTCATCTCCAAAAATGAAAACATTTTCATTAGTCTAATATGCATAGGAACAAAAATTTTCTGTCTAAGATTAGCCTTAGTTTTCCTGCACCTTGACAAGAAGATTGCATGGGTTTTAGCAGTATCTACCGATGACCTAAATAACTTAGAGCAAATAAAACCTTTCTTCTGATTGGGAAAAGAATTGATTAGTAGGAATGAATTAAAATATTATTTTGCTGATCATATCTTTTTCTCTGCAAAACATGTTTCTGTTCCCAAGAATAAAATAACAATTTCTTCTTTAAAAACTGTAGTTTCTTAGCTTTTCAAAAACTGCTGTTGCTGGTTTGGGTTACCAATAGCAAGTACTAAATGTGAACAAACAAAACTGATTCTAAACTTTTCAAAGAACATATTTGACAGAAGTTTATTAGCTTTTGAAAATGCTATTTTATTAATAAGGATTCTCTTCCTTGAAAATTGTATTAATTTCAAAAAACTGCATTTACACATCTTTCTTTTTAGTAATCTCCCCAGATTTTGATTCTGAAAAATTTAGAAAGAAGCTAAACGTGCATTTAACTTCAAACATATTCTTAAGGCATAAAGTAGCTAGTGGGACTGTTCACATCTGAAAGCTCTATAGGACTGAGGCAAAAGACTTAGATCCAAGATACACTTAAATCACTGAAAATCTGTTTACTGACTACAATGAGCTTTGAATTTGTTTTTCAATAAGTTTTATGTAAAAGAATAGCTTTTGGTGTCTGATATTACTATGAGGAGGCTGGATTAATGCCTAAACTCTTTCTTTCATTCCACCTCAGTAACTTAGGTTTAGGTCTAATCTGAATCATGGTTTAACAAAGTTACAGGCAGCTGTGAACTATTTTTCTTTAGTTTTTCAGTTTAAGTAAAATTATACCAAACTGCTAGCATACCATTAAGCAAGGCAAATTTACCTATGTATGGTGCAATAGCCAGACTTTTTTTGGTGTCTAAGTTAACTCTTTTACAGCCACATCAGCTAGCATGGGGGTCGCTACGTTACACTCAAACTGTTTTTGTGACCACAGCAGAGGTGTCTCCCAAAGAAGGGGCATAGCTTTTGTTCCATTGTTGGAAGCCTACGAAATGTGAAATTATGCATTCTTTGGGATAAACATTGGATGTCAGTGTTGCACCACCAAATTACAGCTCCCAGTGAAACAGTGAAAACAGAGTTCAATACTATAGTCAGACTTATACTAGGACTGACTACATGGCCACTACGGTATTTGTTGCTCCTATAGCAGGATATGTGCAAGTGTAGGAGCCAGATCCCATATATCAGGACACTACAGAAGGCAGAAAAGAGTTTCCATACACACTGCTGGAAAAAAGCAACACTGGCAGTAGCTTCTGGTGGAGAGAGAGAAATTGACTCCACTGCTTAATAGTACAATCCACCAGAAAATCTTACATTCATCAATTTATTTCCCGGGTTTTGATTAAGATTTGATTAACATTTTTATTGCCTTAAATATTTTGACACTGACACTGAGGTATTCTAGTAAAATATTTATATTATTCATTAAGATTCTCTTAAAAATTGGGCCGCTCAGAGTACCAGAAGCAATACATTCTTCCTAACCATAGATAAAATGCCTGCCAATAGTCAAGATTTGCATCTCCAACTATAAGTTATTTTATAACACACCTAAGAAACAAATTTCATAAAAAATCTGCTCTGAAGCTGGGCAGACTACTAAGGCAGAGTAGAAGTCCTACAGCTCTAACGTTTTTGATGCAGGAGTTTACTTTTTCACAAATGTTCATATACGCCCCTG